TTTTCTCCGTTGGTGCTGTTCTTGCTTCATTATGAATTCATTTTTACTCCCATGAGAGTTCCATGGAATTTCCATGGAATTTGCGCTTTCGAGTTGTTTGTGCTGAAACGCATTTTCTCGTACAATACCCGTACACTTTGAAATGGCGATGCCACAATTTACCCCGCAGCAGAGAGCTTTTATGGTATCAGAGTTCCTCCGTAGCAACAACATAAACTTGGTTCGCCAAAGTTTCAAGAATATCCAGATGTACGATGCCCTTCACGTGCGACTATACGTGAAGGGCATCGTACACAAGTCTGGATATTCGTTCGTGAAACTTTGGCGAACCAAGTTTATGTTGTTGCTACAGAGGAACTCGGATACCATGCATAAAAGTATCTGCTGCGGGGTAAATTGTGGCATCGCCATTTCAAAGTGTACGGGGTATTATACGAAGGAACGCGTTTCAGCACAAACAACTCGAAAGCACAAATTCCATGGAAATTCCACGGAACTCTCATGGGAGTAAAAATGAATTCATAATGAAGCCAGAACAGCACCAACAGAGAAAAATGTAACGTTTTCATAGGCTTTTCGGAGGATTTGTACTCGGTAAAATCCTGCCGAAATTTTATCATAAAATAAAATGCAACAAATAGCAAACTTTTCATACATGAACTCAAGTAAAGAATACCGTTTGTCATTTCCGTGCGCAAGCCACTTTTAGGAGAGCAAAAGTTGACCACCTCCCTGGATAGCAAAATTTATTATTTTCAAAATTTTTTATATTTTCCACAATTTAAGAACTCAAGCAATCCATATATAGCAAAAATTACATTTCATGAATAGAATTGTGGAATTGAGAGCGATTTCAAAATTGTCTTACTTTTTTTGATACACCCTGTATAGCGATATGAAGAGACCGCAAACAGTACATGAAATCTTTTTGTTTTAAAATCAGTGTGCAAACGCCAAAGCTAGCGCAAATTTGTGTTTATATTATAAAGAGCAATTTAGCGAAGACTCTTGTGTTCAGAAAGATGCATTCATCCTTTGCTGACAGGTTAAGAAGATGTAGTCATCTTTGCTTAATGAGTTGAACCTAAATTTTTATAATGAAAACACATCCTATTATGCATGAGTCATTGTATATGATATTGCGGTTGCAGCTACTGTACAATAGGCTATATACAATAGGTCCGTATAACCGTATTATCATGGTTATAATTTAACAAACCTTATTTCTGCGCGAACTGTACTGATTAGAATCGACCAGCCAAATAGTGAAATATAATGTATACATCAAGACTAAGAGACCGCAAATAATACACGACATATTTTTGTTTTTAATTTAAATCACTGTGTATGGAAACGCCAAAGCTAGCGCAAATTTCTGTTTATAAAATAAAGACTAATTTAGTGGAGACTCTTGTGTTCAGAAAGATGCAGTCATCTTTTGCTGACAGGTTAAGAAGATGTAGTCATCTTTGCTTAATCAGTTGAACCTAAACTTTTATAATATAGTAAAACACATCCTATATGCATGAATCGTTGTATATGATATTGCGGTTGCAGCTGATACGGTAACTATATAGGTCTGTATTATCATAGTTATAATTCAACAAGCCTTATTTCTGCGCGAATTGTACTGACTAGAACTGGCCAGCTAAATATAGAATGGCTATATGACCTATATCAAGACTAGAGACCGCAAACAGTACACGAAATCTTTTTGTTTTAAAATCAGTTTGCAAACGCCAAAGCTAGCCATCTGTTGAACCTAAATTTTTATAATGAAACACATCCTGTATGTCATGGTATATATGCAAATATTCATAACTCATTAATAAGCCTTTCTGCGCGAGTTGCAACTACATGTCAAGGCTATTCTCATTTAGAATCTAACCAAATAAAACCTATATAGGATATAATTGAATACCCTCACGAGTACAGGCTTCTGTAAGCAAGTTCCAACCGTCAATATCGCATGTTCACCTGCTCTATATCATAATAAAATGTTTGTATTGCATTTCACGGGATTTCACAAGACTAGTAACTTATTTCTAAATATTGAACTAAACGGCACATGCTAATTTTCATATACCCACTGTGAACAGAACCAGATTGATGACTGTTTTGCCTATTAATTTTATTGGGATTAGGCATAATTGCATCCGGCGAAGTGCACAAATTTTGTGCAGCAGTTGACAAATTTGTAAATTGACACCTTTTTTCGGCCGGGTAAAGGGCAATAAATTTGTGGGAAAAAATTCTGAACCCGGTTGACATTGTGAATAGCACTTCATTTTATTTGTTTATTTATGAACTACATGTTTGTAAATAAAATACATTATTTTGAGTTTAGGAAAATTACCACAGATTTTTATCATCATTTAATTACACGTATACTTTTACCGTTTTGCGCCTTATGAAAGTTAGACGCTTCGTATTTCATGATGAAAGGGTTTAAACCGTTTTATCATGAAATACGAAGCGTCTGCACCGCAGGCTATGTGGAAGTAGGCTAAGAATTAAAATGCCACCTCGCCTTGGGGAAGAGCGGCGTTTAAAAAAAACACTGATAATCGCTTTTCACACTTTTCAAAGGCGCTGTGCAGTGAGTTAAATAAGACGTTGGGTGGCTTGAAGATTTGCCGTGAAAAGGTTGTTCGCAATATTAACTGCCACTGGTGCATATAAATTTCAAAATAATGTCGGTTGGTCATTCGCTAGATAGCAGAATGACATATATGCAGAATGATAATGGGAATGAATATAGACTCACGGGATGAGAGTAACATTAACAACTTTGTGGCCTTCGTTCTCAACTGCTCTAAAGAAAAGATTAGAGAGAAACGACTGGAAATAGTCTCTCTTATAACAATGAGAATATGTGTTTATTCGTGTTTTTTTGGAGAACGAGGCATACACATGCATTGATATGTTAAGTATTTAGAATGTATAATATACATGAGGTAATAACAATGAAAATATATGTTCATTCCTTTTTCGCCTTGGAGAACGAAGCATACACATTCATATATGAAGATGTCAGTAAGCATATATGAGCTATTGTAATAACAAAACACGTTGATAAAAGAAAATGTAAACGCGTATGTGCAGTAATAAGAATGAAAATATCTGTTTATTATATTAATAAATGCTTGCCGAAGTTCATAGACGCACAATGCGTCTCTAGTATGAAAAGGAGCAATGGAACTGTCGCCTTTAAATGACAGATACTGCGTCGTAACTTATAATCCCGCTTGAGTGAACTTTAATATTTAAATGAAAAAGGGCAATGGAACTGTCGCCTTTATTTAGATGACAGATACTCGGCGTCGTAACTTAAAATCCCGCTTGAGTGAACTTTAATATTTAAATGTATAATGCCGATGCGGCGAGGCAAACCGCACTAGACATAAACATATCAGGACTATATAGCAATGAAAATTTGTGGTTTTTGGAGAACGAGGGATACACATGCATTCATATATTAAGAACTTAAAATGTCTAATATACATGACTCATGAGGTAATAAGTAATAACAGTCAATGAAAATATATGTTCATTTCTTTTTCGCCTTTTGGAGAACGAAGCATACACAGTCATATATGAAGATGTAAACATATAAGAAGTTAGTAATAACAAAACACATTGATATATGAAAATGTAAACGTATGTGAGGTAATAAGGATGAAAATATCTGTCTATTTTCACCATACGCACGATGTGCACGGATCGTACGGATTTAGTGGCCAGCATCAATTGCATGATTAGTGTTTGTTGCATTGTTGGAGGTAAACATGCACAGCTTGAGATTTTTTACCATGTGTTACGGATCGTGAGGTACGTTTACGATCTGTGTCATATAGTGATTGTTTGACCATGTGTTACGGATCGTGAAGTATATTCACGATCTGTGTTGCATCGTGATTGTTTCACACTTTCACCATGTGTTACGGATCGTGAACTATATTCACGATCCGTGACCCATCGTGATATTGGACATGTATGACACCCTCACTTTGACACCTAATCATTCCTACGTCATGCACTAATAATCAATTAAAATAATCTTATCTGTCAGTTCCCGACACAATGTCAATACAAAGTCGTCCCGGGAAGTGGAATGAAATTTTCTCATATAGACCAATGATATTTACACAAGAGAAATTCATCCCGCATACTTGCTGGGCTGTTTCGCTAACTGGGTTCCATCACTGGCTTTCATATAATTAAACATATGATGAAGCATTTTCCACCCAGTTCTGATATATTTTTATGGCCTGCTTTTATATAGTACAACATAAACGACAGTGATGTTTGTGACGTTGCCTAACCATGGTGGGAATCGAAACCGTGCCTTTGGGATACTAGTCCAATGCTCTACCAACTGAGCTATACGAGGTCAAGTCAGTTCGAGTTGGCGATGTTTCGGAACTGAAGACCTGTTAGAACGCACTGTTTGCAAGGTCTACAGCTATTGGCTGAAGCAAATATTTGGTGGTCATGGTGGTCGACGAATCAGAATAAGATGTCTCCTCCCTTACTTCCGTTTAATCATTTCTCCCTTACTTCCGTTTAATCATTTAAGTTGGATTGCGCTAGAAGAGCGAAGGTATTATGCGCGAAGGTATTATGAAGAATATTAGGGACTTTAGTACAACGTTTGCATTTTAGTACGTAAGAAGTGGACACCCAGCAAATTGGTTCAGTACTATTGTG